TCTATCTCTATCTCTATCTCTATCTCTATCTCTATCTCTATCTCTATCTCTATCTCTATCTCTATCTCTATATCTATCTCTATCTCTATCTCTATATATATCTCTATCTTTATCTCTTTATCTCTATCTCACTATCTGTATCTCTCTGTTTATGTATCGCTTTCACTGTCTTACTACATCTATCCCAATTCATTGTGTTAAACTGTAAATGTTTGTTGTGTGCCGCTTGAGTCCCATTTTCTTATGTTCCTGTCAAAGTTCATATCAGATTGCCTCATTCAATTGATGGCATTGTCAAAATTGATGGCTAAATTGCATTTGGCAGCACTCGATGGCCCCAAAATAGGCAGCACTCTGCTATTCGACAACACTTTCGGACCTCAGCGTGCTGTTGGGCTAGGCTGACTCAGCTGGCCTCCACAGCACGTTCAAATAGAGCTTGACAGTTGCAACATAAGAAAAAGGTTCGGAGCGGCCAACCGCCTGCATCAGAAGCTCACAGCTAGCATTGGCAGCGTTGGCTGCATTGGCAGTGCGCGCGTTCAACTCCCATTTGGCATTTGATTCGCTTTTGGACCGAGACGGACGACGAGACAACCACAAAATTGCATTCAAATTCACAATTACCGATTATCGATTAACGATTAACGATTAAAGATAACCGATTGCAGCTGCGCTTCTTGTGAGCTTAGCGAGCAATGACAGCAGCTCTATCACTCTCTCTCTCTCTCTCACTGTCTCTCGCGCTCTCACGCTGTGTGCATCATCCAGCTAATTGGGCCCTACGGTCCCGTTCCCCACTCCTGCTCTCTGTTCCAGCGGACAAGACGGACGAAAAGTTCCATCGGCGGGCCTCCGTCAAGATGGGCGTGCGGGTCATCTATCGCACCGACGTCTTTCACCAGCATACCGCTCCGGAGAACTTCGCTGCCTTTGCCGGCCAGAACTCCAACGCATCGACCCAATCGCCGCCGGCCAGCGCCACGCCCCCATTGAGTAACAGCGACGGGCACGAGCCAACACCCAGCACCAGCAGTGCAGGCGGAGGAGGAGGAGGAGGAGGAGCCGCTGGAGGAGGAGGTACCGGTACCGGTACTGCTGCGGGCGCGGGTGCCAAGGGCGCCAAGTCCAAGTCGGAGCGCGGTGATTCATTTCCCAAGCTGCGTCTCTCGCCCAAGGCGTTTAGGTTCAGCGGACGCTTTGGCCGCAGCAAAAGCGAAATCGAGCGGTGCCCCAACGACCCATTCCATTGCTACAGCAAGTCCTTCCAGGAGGTAAGTGAGATGACCGTAATATATACTATACGGAATGGATAAAGGTTCCCGGAGAATCTAATATAATAATCAAATTTACATTTCAACTAACTTCTTCTCATAACATCAGCAGCATTGCCAATAATTGCTTTTTACCTTATCAGGTAGTAAAGCAGAGCATATCAGTCTTATACAGTGTCCAGTTGCCTGCAAAGGTATTAGCATTTCTGTTGAGTCTGTCAGTTCGTTACGAAACATAAGCTCTTTAAATTCTATGATTCATACTGCTGAAAAGTCTTTGCAGACGAAATGTTGTTGACCTACCCCACGGAGGGAGGGAGAGCTATAAATGCTATGCAGGGGCGTAGCAAGTTTGCCGACAATGGGAGGGAGGGGTGACTCATATCGAATTACCCACTCACCTTGTGTATTTGGCGACGGCATATAGACTTCATAAATAAATTAATACACGTAATTGGGTTCATCAATATTCTGATTCCCGAACACACTGATGGAATTTCAGGCTGGTCCCTCCTATGTGGATTTTTGTAAAGAAAAAATCCTTTAAATAAAATCGAACAGATTGTTGATTTGTCGATTCACTTTAAACAGGTTGCTGACTCTGAACACGTGGGCGTCTGTCGCATGTCTAGCACCCTCCCCCCTTCTCGCGCAATGAGACGTGAACAAGTACTACGACGGCTCAGCTCATGCCTATTTAATACATCATTAACAGAGCTTGCCATTTCATATACTCTCTAAGCCTTTGCAGTGCTGACCGCAGACTTAATGACTTCAATAAACCGAGTGCTCTACGTGGCACCTGCCAATTGATTAGCCACACAGGTGCAAATGCAAATGCGTCCTGTGCGCCACACAGCGAATCGCTGGCGAAAAGTAATTTACTTGCAAAGGCGCCAGAAGTGCACTAATCGGCTTGCGGAGAGGTCAATTAATTTGGATATAATTATTATTTGCGAGCTCAAATGGCGCGCACTGCTTTGAGTCGCGCAATTAATTTGTGTGCAGAGTTAATCGAAAGGCAACCGCTTCAATAATACAGATCCGGTCAACTGTTTCACTTTCCCCATTGACCAGCCATCTCGCCGAACCAGCCCCCGCCCACTGCCGAAATGGTTTAACTGGGCAGGCCATTAATTAATAGCTAACCAGTTGAATTGTAATTAGGCAGTCGCAAATCGAGCTTATGGCTAACCGCACGCCGACCCAGGCGAATCAGATTCCTGATGTGCTTGGCAAATTAATTATGCATAGCTTAACCTAACACACACGCATTTTGAGTCGACTGCAAACTCGGTCTGATTGATTCCTTGGCAGCACTGCGACAACACTGGCTCCGAAATGCTGCCACCCCATAGCAATGCCGGCGTCACCGGCGGCATTGGCGGCATCAGCGTCGGACCTTGCGGCGGACCCCAGGGCGCCGTCGATAAACCGTTTCTGCTGCACGACGGCCGCGTCGGCCTGAGGGCCAGCCTGGACAAGGGCTGGTATACGCACGGCGAGGACGTCAATGTCACGGTCAACATACGCAACGATAGCCGCAAGACGGTGCGCAAAGTGCGGGTAAGTCGATAACCGATAACCGATAACCGATAACGATAAGGTGCAACAATACATCTAAGCTAAGACCCACGTCCTGAATGTATAGAAAATATCGCTGCGAATTTCGAATCGAATCTTTGAGCAGGGAATACCCTGTCTTTGATTTTCTATCATAAGAAATCGCGCTTGTTCTCTAGACTAATATCTGGCTGACTTCCCTCCTAGACTTCGCGACTTTCTTATCATCTTTCGTTTAGTAAACCTTTTGTTTGCATTACAATTTCTTGACCATGCTGACTGTCTGCTATCTGCCTCTCCCCTTCTCGAGATGCAAGCTGCAGCTACCTGGCACATGTTGCCCTTAGCCAACCTTGAGCTAGCTGTTGCATTTCCACACAAGTTGTTTCAATAACTCGTTTGGCTCTCTGCCAGCTGTTGGCACATGCCACATATCGCAGTTGGGCACTTAGCCACATCCAGCGAGAGCATGAGTGATACCCCAAGTCAGGCTCTGCGTACAAAGAAACCAACTCTCTATTCATGCCCATTGCTTTGAGGGACTCTGGACTGCGCCATTTGTGGGCACACTGTCCGACAGAGCTACGGCAGTCAATCAGATGGTAACGAGGGAACGGCTTATAACTTCCGGCCATTCGCTTTTAAAGTTTGCAGTTTTTGTAGCAACCAATTGGCTTAGAGCTTACTGCTACCTTTGTGGCAGCCAATTAGATGGACTTTACGGCAATCATTAGCTAACTTATATGCAGGCTAAAGGGACAACATGGGCAGCAGCAAAAGCTTGTTTCAATTTACCAACTCGCAAAAGTCTGCACTAGCACTGTCAACAGTTTTAATTTATACTTTCCCCTCACGGCCTCAGTCTAATGGCAAATGCATGTAAGCCAATTGCTTAGATTCTCGACTGATATCTGATAATTGCCAATAACACAATGCCACATGCCTGGCAGTCAGTGGGCGGTCTCCATTGCGACAATTGCTTTGGCAATCAAAATTAATGTAAGCACACACAGACACTCACACACAGCCACCGAGATAAATCATCAGTTGTTCCGATACAGCCATGTGCGAAGCGTCCTATTAATATTATAAACACGTACGCTCAACACACCCATTCGCTGGGTACAAGAGCAAACGCATGCTGTTTGGGTCTATTAATTGAGCTGCTGTGGAATATAATAGTTGTCAGTTGAATATTGTTCTGTAATAGCTCCATATAACAGTTTTGTGTAGCACTTTTGTATAAAATAGGAATTTAATAGTATTTTTGTATAACACTTTTGCATAACAGTTTTGTATAACTTTTTTTGTATAACAGTTTTATAGAATAGTTTTGTATAGCATATTAAATTTAGATTTTCATCTATAAGTCTTGTATAGCAATTTTGTATAAAAGTTTTGTATACATTTTAATTTTCTATAACACTTTTATGTATAAGTCTTGTATATAAATTTTGTATAAAAGTTTTGTATAACAGTTTTGTATAACAGATTAATTTAGTATAGCACATTTGTATACTAGTTCTTTGTAGCATATTTGTATAAAATTTTCTTAGGACAAATGTGTATACCAACAGTGATGATCCATGAGTTCTGTATAACAATGAAATAAGTAGCCTAGACAGGACAACATGCAGAGTTTTAAGCAGTTGCTAAAACTAACATAGCATTAAATGCTTGTATACCATAAAGTAAGAGCTGAAGTCCTCGACCACACTTCGATTGCTTAAATGCATGTAACAGTGGACTGCTATAGCGTAGTATGAGAGAAAATGAAAAACTATTAATGCTTGTGCTGAAGTATGCAGTGGCCAGACGTTGGCGAGATATGTAAGAACTAATCTGTGCACACGTTGTAAAACAGTATAACAATTGAGCTGGAATCAGATGGATGTTCAGCCAGCATACCGCAAAGCAACTCTTAAGCGAGAAATATTGAATTCGAAATCATATTTAAGCTGCTTGCAATCAAAACTTAACTCTTTTGCAGCCCTCCAGCTGACAGTCCTGAGCAAATAATCAGGGAATGCCAATGGAGAGTATTGGGGCTGCGGTGCAATGTACACATGGCTTTTGTTCATCGGGGCGGGCAGGGCGAAGGGGTCGAGGGGTCGAGGGGGCCCTGTTGAGCTGGGTGTGGTGTGCGCCAAGCAAAATGCTGATTGAGTCTTAAGCTTTTAATAAACACCAAACGAATATTACGCATACGCCGCGTGGGCAGGCGGACAAGCAAAGCAGCGGCGGACGTTGCTACCGCCGTTGCCTTAGCTATTACTGCTGCTGTTGCCTGCCAACGCACCGAATTCTGGCTGACAAAGCGAATGGCCCGCTGAGAAAACAGTGGAGAAGCCGTTCTCGGCCAGCTGCTGGGTGTAGGGCCCGAGCGGACACAAAGAATCAGCGAATGCAAATGACGTTGGGCCTTGGCGAAAAATG